ATACAATTTACGAAACCCGATGCAGCCCTCAGGCCAAAAAGTTTGCCCGCCCCTGCCTTATGTGTTTGGGGAAATGACTTCAAGTGAGCAATAATATTCTGTCTGTGTCTTTCTGTACTGTATCCCACTGTCAGTTACATTTTAACTGCATGGTATATTGTGAGCTGATCTTGCAGTCCATACTAGGACAAAATAGTCTATGGGAAATCTGCCTGAGTAAAATTGCAGAATTGGGCTCCTTATATGATTCCATACAAAATGAAAAGTAAATTAAGTATTATTTGCCACTTCAGGCCCTATAAAGGACTGTGGTAAAAATATAAATTCTGTTTAATAAAATATCCCTAACATCTTCAGAGGCCCTTCAATGCTGGGGATTTTCTGAAGACTCTAGCATTTGTTACCAAGAGAACAGAGATTGACTAACCATTCTTAAAATAGGCAGAATTATCCTAGGATTAGGATTTATCCAGCGATCAAATTTCTGTTTTATTTTAGACACCATCATACAGTAGGTTCAGTAGTCAGATACTAAGCCATGTTACTAAATTAAAATACACTTACAATTTTTGGATGCTGGTGTTAATATTTTCTAAAGAGTATTTAAGCATTAATTTGCAGGGGAAAAACACATCAGGAATTGCACTTTACAGACAGGAGACTTGATCCTGCAAGGTGATGAGAAACCTGAAATCCTGGAATCACACAGACTGGGGTGGGGGTGAGGGAACGAGATCTGTAACCTACCATCTTTGGAGTGAGTCATCACAGGATGACTTTTTCTTTAGGTTACTGGTTCAGCTAGAACCTTGGTGAATAACTATTGCATTTTTTCTCCTCTGATGGCTGTTAAGTTGCCTATATGAAACTAATGTGATGGTTTCAGTCAAACTCCTAGATAAATGTCAGTGTCATAAACTCCACTACCCTAACTGGTGCCCAATGAACAAACAGGCATTATTAGGCTATCATTTTACCACCCCTACAGAGCTAGTCCCTGCACATCAAGGATGAGGCCCATTAAATGTTGTGATATAGGGAAGCTGGGCCTGTCATTATCTGTGCTGTACATGTTCGGTGGACAAACAGAGGCCTATAGTCTCCAATACTCAGTCATTCTTCCTGAGTGCTAAATTCTCTGACATTCATACTCCCACTAATTCAGACACAAGGCAGAAATTCCATATTAGGACAGGCATGTCATGAAGGAAGCACATTATCTCTTAAGCCTTGTCTACATTCCATTTTTTGTAAGAATTCTCATTACTGCTAATACTGATACAGCTGCATTGATGTTAGCCAGGCTGGGATCTCTAGCATAGATGTCTCTCTAGCTCCAGCAGCCATTTTCAGTAGCACCCGGCCAGTTAGACGTGCAGGGCTGCTTGACAGAATGCTGAAAATTGCTGCTGGAGAGAGATCTCCATTAGGGCTCCTCCCAACACTGGCACATCTGGGCAGGTGTTTACAAAAACTTCACTGGTAAGATTCCTACAGTAGACAAAACCACAAAGTCTGATTTAGCTACCTAACCCATAGCATTCCAATTGCTGACTCCTGCTAAGTGTGACTTCCCAGCACACGTTTGCTCTGTGTGTTGGTGAGATCACATTTACCCCAGAAAGTCTGCTGCAGCATGAAAGGCATCACATTGGGTCACATATATCCTTATTCCTTTTTTACAAGTTATTTTTTGTTTACAAAATAAATCTCCAAAACCCCAAAATGAAATTTTAACCGTAAATCATACAAGAAGATGAACCACGTAGTAGTAGTAGCAGTAAAATCAATCTCTTTAACCCTTTCATCCCCAATTGTTTTTACTATCACATGCAAAACAGACCACAGAAGTGGCTCTTATGATTAAAGGGTTGATCAGTCTATTTTCCTTGTGCCAGGAATCCCCACCCTGCAAGAGTTAGATAGTGGGGCTGATTATGTAGTTTTTATTCAACAATTAGTCCCAGTGAAGTCAGCAAGAATACTTAAATTGAGTAAGGATTGCAGAATCTGGCTGCAGAGCAATGCCTTTTCTCCTTGAGTTAAAAAGGAATCTCTAGTTATCAGCATTAGTACTCTTCTAGCACAGGGTCTTTTTTCCAGTCCCTTGTTCCAGGAAGCATGCCAGACAAGAAGTCTGACCCTGGGAGAAAGCCTTAGGAGCTCTGCTCCACAATTGGAAGCAATGAGTGAACTCTGATGAGACCCACCTGGATTGGATATACAGCCAGGCCTGTAATAGCACTGTCGCACACAGACTCACAATTTATTTTTATTGGAATGAAAGCCGTGTACAGTCTTTGAAGAAATGCTCTATTGCAGGGGTGGCCAACCTGAGCCTGAGAAGGAGCCAGAATTTACCAATCCAAAGAGTCACAGTAAGACATCAACAGCACCCCATGAGTTCCCTCCTCCC